ATTTTAAATTTGTCAATTTTGTTCCAGCCTGCTAGACACTCGAAGTTAGAGAAGGCAGATATCCTAGAGATGACAGTCAAACATCTACAGACCATACAACGACAGCAACTGTCGCTGGCAGCCGGTGCAGACCCCACTGTGGTTCGGCGCTTCCAGTCTGGCTTCACAGAGTGCGCCGGCGAGGTATGTCTGGTGTCAAATACATTATAGAACAACGTTTATAAGTTTTGTGTTGTGCAATGTGCAGAGACTATTCTATTTTTATTTGAGAAATAGCAACCCTCAAACCAGCAATCCTCAGATTTGAAGGAGAGGCCGTCCTGCTGGTCTTCTGCCTTCGGGGTTTCTATCAAGTATGTTCCTCACTGCAGTTTTGCTGTCTTCTCATAGTATGTCCAAACCATCTCAACCGTCTACTACTTTTGACTTCCGATACGATGTCTGGGTCTTTGTAACGCTCCTTAACCTTGGTCCTTGGTGTTATGTCTTCTCCTCCATACTCCATCCTCGAGCGCCGGGCCAAATATCTTTCTAAGGACTTTGTTTTCAAATGTTATTATTTTCTGTTCTGTCTTTTTGCTCATTACCCACGTTTCTGATCCATATAGTATAACCGGTCTTAATATTGTTTTGTAAATACGTAATTTGGTGTTGTGGGATAGTAATTTTGAGCTTAACAATTTGTTACATGCATAAAGGGCTATGTTAGCTGAATTTAACCTGCTTATTATTTCTAATTCTTCATTATTACTGTCTGTTAATAGTATACTCCTAAATACTGAAAGCTATTTACATTATGAAAAGAGCTCTATCTGCAAGATATCATCTTCATCATCATTTGCTTCTTAGACATCCCATCTTCCACACTTCATGAATTTTGTTTTGATGTCATTAATTTTTATGCCTACTTTTCCTGTTTCTTCAATTAATATTTTAACTATTTCTCTGAGGTCATCCTTCTTATTTGCCATTATGACCACGTCGTCTGCGAAGGCTAATATGTTTATTTTTTCCCCAATATTGATGCCTTTATCTGAGGATTTGACTTTTTGTAGCGCTTCTTCTAGGGCGATGTTAAACAGTATCCGGTATATCCCATCTCCTTGTCTTATGCCGTTATTTTACATTGAATTCCCTTGATAGTTGTCCTTCAACTTTAACTTTACATTTTAAATCCTTAACACTCAATCTTGTGAGTCTGATTAATTTGTTGGGTATACCAACTTTTTCCATTATTTCCCATAATCTATTTCTATTTAAATGCTGTTATAAGCTTTAGTATAGTCTATGAAGATGTAATAGAAGGACTGCTTATACTCATGATATTTTGCTATTGCTTCTTTTAGTATGTAAATTTGGTCTGTTCTTGACTTTTCTTTAGATAGGTAACGCCAGCTTGGTGTTATCCAATTATAATCTATGAGTATTCTTCTAGTCTTGTTTGTACAGTATTAGCTATGATAATATGTTATGTGTTTTGTTTAAAAGGGAGATAACTGTATACAGTAGTTGTTGCAGTCGTTCTTATCACCCTTTTTATAGAATTATTATTTACTAAATCTAAAACCAATGTCTGCAGACCAGAAGATTTTTTCAAAGCAACTATTACACAATTAATTGCCAAAAACATATGAAAAACCTAATGGAATGTTGCAGGTAGGCCGATATATTGGCCGACTAGATGGAGTAGAAGCTGGGGTCAAGCAGAGGTTGGTCAGCCATCTTGCATCTTGTGTCAATGGTCTACAGCAGATGGCCACACCCTCGTCTCAGGTACGTATGGGTTGTGTTAGGTTATACTGGTTATACTAAATACCTCACCTCTCTGTGTGGCAAAAATGTGGCTCATCAAAGTGGATGAAGAAATAAACCTTTACAAAATACACTATTTTGACACATTATCTTAACACTGCAGAATGTTTACTACTTTATGAATCCAACCAATGCTATACAAGAGCAAAAGAAGGATCAAGAAATCAGATGATTACCTTATTTTATAAGTGTTTAGTAGAAGGTGTAGTTTACCCTTAAGGCTTCAATGGCTAATACGTTTTATTAGCCTATGAAAGTTTAATGGTTAAAAGCTATACTTTGACATGTGAAGCAACCTGGGAGTCAAGCTTCTCAGTTTTACCCTTGCACGTATAGTTGACGATTGCTGTTAGTGAGGTAGACTGAGGGAGTCTGATCAACATCTTAGTGCTCTAAGGCCTTGTCTCTCTGGCCAAGAAGCAGCATATTGTAGATCGAAGGATCGAACCCTGTGTCTGTCAGGTCTAGTGTGCACCTATGAGGAGTTCAACTACCTCTGGTAGACTTGGTTTGGGAAGCTACCTAAAATAAATGTTGAAAGGCTCAAGTTTAAGTTAAAGGGGATGATGATTCTTTGTGAGTTTCATCTCAGATCAAGAGTTTTGTCACTATTTGCTTGGCCTTGTGTATATTGGTTTCATTCATTCACCTTATCTAAATTTTGAATTCACTTAGCATGTTTTAATGTTACAGACTGGTCCTCCAAGTAGCCGGCCATCTTCAGAAGATGTGAATAACAACACAGCCTCTGCCAGGCTGCAGATGATGACAGGGCTGCAGCTGATCCCCAGCCGGTTGCCGTCCGGAGAACTGGCGTTGCTGCTACCCAACTCCCAGCATCTGCCTTGCTTTCCCCCACCCCTGGACAACCAGGTGACCACCACCAGTGAGCCGCAGGGTCGCCCTAGTGCCTTCACAGCGGTCGCACGATCACGGTCGCCTCCCGTCAGTCCATCCTCCACCACGATGTCCAGCTATGGTGAGGAGTCTTGTGACCAACCCTTCCCCAGCCCTGAGGTCTCCTCCACGTCCGAACACCACCAGGAATATCCTCCGAGAGAACCACAAAATTTAAAAGAACCAAACAGCTTTACAAGTTTCAATGCACCAATTCAACCTTTGACTGTTATAACTTCAGATGAAATGCTAAAAGCGTTTCCACAACGTTATACTGAGAGAAAACCCACTTTTAAGGATCCTTTAGACTACTCTGTGAAAAAAGACTACATTCCTCATCCAGTTAAAAGACCACTACCGAAAGAATCCAACTTATTGATTGAAGCAACTGATTACCAACCTCCCTTAAAGGTACAAAAAACGTTCAGGGAAAATTTACCTCAGAATAATATCTTTGAAGAGAGAAAAAGTTTGTTTGAAATTCAAAATAAATCACACACTGTTATTACCCACCATCGAAATGATAGTTCACTTGACAGAAAAAGTCTGTTTGAAATTCAAAACCAACCATCTACCTCATCTTCACAAGTTTCTCGTGATATGTGGCGACCTTGGTGACTTCCGATTGTGTTGACATGTTTTGTATATAAATTTATATTTATTTATGTTTTATTTGGTTTTATATTCTTCACATACTGTCTTTACAACAAATTGTATATTTTGGAAATAAAAAAATATTTTATAAATTTTTATAATCATTCCTATAATAACTTTTTTTCTGATGATATTATTTTCCAAATGAGTTATCAGAATATTATCATTAACTATTATTGATAGTCAAAGATATTATTTATTAATCATCAGTGTTCACCATATCCTTATATGAGTTTCCAATTTCATTGTTATTTTAAATTTAAAGCATTCTAGAACAACGTTAAAACATCAAATTTTGGTTTTTCTAGTGAAATAGGGAAGATAGTCCTAATGTTACAGATGTGGTGCAACAGTATACAGAGTGGGAAAAAAGTCCAGGGAAGGTTAAATATTTCAAAAGGTGATAAAGATATAGCTTAAAAACTTAGTACACAGTTCCTGGGCATTAACAACACATTATTCAGTGATACACTACCATCCTCAGGGGGACGGCCCGCTAAGATTCAAAATAAAATCTTAAATGTAAGCATAGGTTGAATGTATGCACGTCAATTTAAAGGCTTTTATTTGTAGAATACAATGCCGAAAATGTTAACTCAAAACGGTCAACCAAGTCAAAAATGGCGTTTAAAGATTTCTTAAATCTGCCATTTTGAATCTTTGAGCGGCTGCCATTTTTTACTCAGTAGCTCTTTTGAGCTCAAATTTGCGGCATCGTATTCTACCAACAAATACATTTAATTTTATGTGGACATTGACCTGTGCGTATGTATATATGATTTTCTTCTGGTAGTACGTAATGAAACCCCGATTTGATTAAACATTAATTTCACTAAACACTAATTTGGACTAATTTCATGTGTGGAAAGTCTATTAAAACAGGGCAGTGTGGCAAAAATATTTTCGCCAGTTTTAAAGACAAAATGGACCTAGTTGATGTGAGCCACTTACAGATTTACGCTGATAAAATAGAATTTTACACACTAGTGCAATCTGTAACTGACTTAGAGAAATAAGTTCTTTTTTGCTTAAAAATTAACGACTGCTGGTCCATCTATAGCTAGGATAACATACCTACTTCAGTATCTTAAAGTCGAAGTTCAAAGCTTCATCTAGTTAACTTAAATCTAAGCAAATAGCTGACAGACTGATACAATGGAATTTTACACACTAGCGCAATCTTTGACTGACTCACAGAACTATGTTCTTTTTTGCTTACAAATTGACGACTGGTGGGCTGGTGGTGGGAATTGGGGACTGGTGGTGGGGAGTGTATAGACAGGATACCTACTTTAGTATCTTAAAGTTAAAAGTTCAAAGCTTCTAGTTAACTTAAATCTAGGCAAATAGTTGACAGAAAATGGAGGATTTTTAAATAAGTACCTGTTAAATTAATTTTGGACTTCTATATAATCTCATCGTTTTATTAACTCATGTAGTACAAAACAATCAAGCAGCATGGAGACCATATTAGTGCTTTCAATTATTACAATCAGCACTATAGTCCTCGCCAACCTAAGTTGAGGCAGGCCAAGGCTGCACGGCGTATATCTAGTGCGGCCTTTGGCTGCCTCAACTTAGGGTGGCGAGGACTATAGGACTCTTGTGGAAAGATATTAGGAACAATAAACTACCAGTAAAATAAAACATTACTTTTTAATAAAATCACATCAACAGACACACATTAAAACTAAACTTGTTAACTCATTGCCACCCTCTCAATTTACACATTTATTTCCTGAGGCTCTATGCTGTTGGGAGGTGATGTCTGGCCATCCAGCTCTGGTGATCCGTTTCTTGGTGTGTCTAAACTTTCTAAAAAGTCACCAAAATTGACTGATCTATACCGCTCCTTAAGCACCTTCATTAAATGTTTTGTATGCTCAAGATCACGAGATTCACATACAATTTTTACCTGTAAACATAATGTAATGTAAGGGGAGGGACTGAAATTTTGTAGGTAAGTGGAAAAGGGTGTATTTGTAAAGAATAGTTGCTTAGCAAGATATTTAATAATGCACAGCAATAGATTGAATACCGTACAATATATATGAAATATTAATGTAACAAAGTACACTGGTATGAGGAAAGTTGGTCAAAATATTCAAGGTCAACCTTCTTGGAGGTGTTCATGAAATTCAACTTTCAGAAGTTCAATTTTTTATAACACCAGGTTTATTATTTTTCTTCGGAAAATAAAACAAAACATAAAATATCTGGGTGGTTATAGATCTTGCCTACGAACTAGGAGGTCACCAGTTTGAGGCTGATAAAAGTAAGTAGTAAGCTATAATTTCATCCATCCAACACTCATCCTTCAGTTATCATAGCTTCAAAACATGCACTTTGTTATGTCGCCATTGTAAAAGTCCAACATAATTTGTTTAATGTTTCCTTTCAAAGTAAATCTGTTGTCATTTTAGGTTTTGTATCAGCATTCTCTACGTTTAGTTTGTTGTTTGGATTTGTTAAGAGAACCAAATCTCATTTTGTGTTGTATTAAATACTTCAGATTTGTCATTTCTGAATTCCATTTTTCCGTGATATTACAAGTTAGTGAATCGCGTACAGCAACGTAGAGATAAACCTTATTCATCTAGCTTGTGGCAGCAAGGCGGTCACCCCGGCGCCTCAGTAGCAGTGGCTTTGGGGGTGCCAGGTATGATTTACCGAATAGGCACGGTAGGCACGTCCTTAGGGCGTGAGACAATTGGCTTTTTCAGGGGCGCTAAAATTTTGGAAAATAAAAAAATTGGTGGTTGTATTTGCATGCAAATACAACCACTTACAGTTATGTTTACACTTCACTGAAAGAGAACCCTGTTGGAAGAAGACCTCCTGGGCGTCCCAAAACGAGGTGGAAAGATGAAGTGCCCAAAGATATGAGGAAGATAAGAATTATGGAGGAAGATGCTGAAGATCGGAAGAAATGGAGGCAGTTAGTTGGCAAGGCCAAATACCACCTTGGGTATCGATGGCCATGGGAGTAAGAGTAAGTAAGTAAGTATTTGCATGCGACCGCGGTAAATTTATGATAATCCCTCGCAGCCGTGTAGACATCGTAATATTTTGTCTCCCGCTATTGCGGCTAAATTCTCACCTATCTCCGCGGTCACCCGACCTCGATCGTGCAGACATAATTATCATCTTCCATGATCGAGGCAAAATATGAACATTTCCTGCGGTCATGAGGAGATTATCATCGTCTTGTGCGATCGCGATAAAATTCTGATCATCCCTCGCGGCCTTGCAGACATCATTATATTGTTCCCTGAGGTCGTGTGGACATAGTAATCGCCTCCCGCGATTGTGGCAAAATGGCAATCATTCCCACTTTCTTGTGGAGATAATCATCGTCTTATCAAATGAGGCAAAATTCTGCCCTTTTCCCGCGATTGTGTGGACACTATAATCGTCTCGCGCGATCACGATAAAATTCTGATCACCCCTCGTGGCCATGGAGACATCATTATATCATCCCTATATCATCCCCCGCGGTCGTTTGGACATAGTAATCGCCTATCGCGATTGTGGAAAAATGGTCATCTTCTCCCGCGGACAATTGGAGATCATCGTCTTCGATGATAATATTGCGAATGAGGCAAAATTATGATCTTTTCTCGCGGTCATGTGGACATTATCATCGTCTTGCGCGATCGCGGCATATTTCATATCATCCCTCACGGTCGTGTATTATTGTATCTCCCGCGGTCCTGTAGACATCACAGTCGTGAAGACATCGTAATCATCTCCCAAGATTGCGGTAAAATGTTAATCATGTTGCGGAGTCGTGTGGAGATCATCATCAATGTCTTCTGTAATCGTGTCAGTTTTCTGATCATCCCTCGCGGCTCTGTAGATATCAATCATCATCGTCTTCTGCGACCGCGGAAAGTCCTGATCATCTCTCACGCTGCCCACAAGCTTGAGGGATCAAACATCAAGTAAGAAAATCGAACTCAAGCCGAGATTTTATGATTGCAATGTTTTAGCTATTGCAAAATGTGTCTGCGATCAATAACAATACTTTTTTCTGTGGAAGACGATGATCATGTTTCTGGGATCATGGGGTGTGGTCAAGATTTGGAGAATGAATAAATATTTTTGTTACCGTGGGAGGTATTTATGATTTTGCTGCGTTCATGAAAGATGATGATAATGACTATACGACCGCAGGAGATAATCTCGATTTTGTTGCAATCGGGAAGAACCATATTGATGATTGATGCCACATGACCGACAGAGATAATCTCGATTTTGTCTCAATTGCAGAGGACACTGATGGTCATATTCAGAATTTACCGGGATCGTGGAGGACGATGACGATGTATTAGACAGATGCACAACATTGCCACGAGCATAGCTCATTGTATTTTTGATGGGGCCTGACAACATCCCGCCCCAGGCGCCAACAAACCATACGAAGGCCCTGTGTGGCAGCTAACTTGATTTATCTTCCGAATCCTTAAAAATCGTTTCAAATCAATTCATTTAACACTCACATAAGCTTTAAAATATGCATCTTGCCGTGTTGGTATCTCAATTTTATCTGATGAAGTTTACCTAAAATTACTTTAAGTAGGTAGCTAATTAGGTTAGTGACTGTATCACTTTGCTAACCAGTAATTTCTAAAGGTCAGTAGACCAGCATTCTATGTAGCTTCACCGAATCTCACCTTGACACTGAACACATCGTAAGTAATCCAGGCTCGCTCGTGCAGGATATCTTTAATGGACACTCCAGTGTCAGCTAGCAGTCGACACAACTCTGCAATGCCTCCTGGCCGATCACTGGCCACCACGGAGAACTTGAGTAGACGGCCGTCTGCTGTCAGACCACGGTCCAGACACCGGCCCAGAATAGTGGTGTCTATGTTGCCTCCACATAGGATCAGCACCACTCTGTGGAAATAGTCACACACACATATATCACACTTAATAGCCAAAATAAAATTGAATTTGTAACAAAATAAATTATAATACTGTTGGTAGAATACCAGCAGGAAGGCCAATGCTGGGATTAAAATTGCATGATTTTTACTCAAATCATCAGTTAATAGTTAAGTTATAATATTTATCACAGTTATTTGCTTTAAAATGCGTTTTATACTAGGTTTCCTCTGAATGTTGAAAAACCACGAAGAATTGCGAAAAACCCCGCCCTGGGCCATTGGCGAGCGTAATTAAACCCTGCGCCACTGATCGTGTCGAAACCGCGGCACGCCATCTTAGGCCGCGGTTAAGGGGTTAAATGGGAAATTTCCTAATAATGCGGTTCTTTACACTAATTGTAAAAAGTTACTCTACCACCACTGAATATAGAAACCAAACTCATATATAACACTTATATTTTTATTTTCTTGTCGGCTTAATTCAATTATATGTGGCAGAAAAATAATAATTAACCTTCAAAATGTACAAAATAATGTATATACAAATTTAAATAGAAAAAACATGTACAAAATTGTTTTATTTTCTTCTACAATAGAGAGCAAATTAGAATTTACTTCCAAAATCTTAAAAATTTACAAAACATTAGTCCTCAGTGTTTATCAATCAGTGGGACATCAATCTAACCCATCAAAATCCCTCAGTTTTGGTTTATGATTGGCATCAAAGTGATATTGGCCATCAATAATTATCTCAATTACTACTGAGGTTGATTCAGTTTGAAATTATCAGCATTTACCTCTTCCCGTGAAACTCTGAGAGATGCCCCGCCAAGATGGCCGCCAGTCCCACAGCCCCCGCTCCTTCTACCACACACTTCTCCATCTCTACCAGTCGCAGAATGGCTATGGCGATCCAGTCCTCTTTGACCACCACCTACAAGAAAATGTCAAGGTTCAAAAAGGATCTGAGATTTGATAAGGGATGGGTTCCACTTGTCAACCAATTTTTTGATTATATTGGTAAAAAATTACCTAACATTGAAAATATATTATGGTTAAGGCTTAGCTGAATCTGATAACCTTACAATAACACCAATCGATACATAATTTAATGTCCTTAAAAACATGATAAAATATTTTTTTAATTTTCAATGGGTCACTTAGGAGTTATAAGCAAAACACGAGAAGAGTACAAACATACTCCCAATACTTAAGCACAAGCCAGAATCCATCGCAAACTCAAAGGACTCTTACTTATATGATCATTAAGGTACTAAAACACTTTCCAGCTTTGGACAAATTTTTAGGGAGCACAGCCTTTTTTTGTCTAATTGGCTGGGCTATTATAATTCAGACAGTGATAGCTGACTAAAACAAAGCCAATAATATATCAATAACATGAAAAATATCAAGATCACCATTTTGTCGATAAGAGGCCTTGCTGTGTGGTAGGCATTGTATCCAACCAGAGGTACCGCCAGACCATCAGCTAGAGTAGAGTGGATCTTGACTGGGGTAGGCTGGCCACATTGCATAGCTCTTGAAAAGCTTGGACACCTGTCAGACTCTACACCCTGTAAACATTCAACATTTGGTGGTACTCTAGCTTGTAAATAAACTATCATGAAAATGAACTAAAAGACCAATTTTTTTGATAGGAACTTTAGAAGAAGGGTACCTACAATTTATGGGGAGAGAGTAAATGGCAGATTGTAGAGAAAAATTGCTGTAGAAATATATGTATGAGAAGATGGAGTACACTATATTCAACTTTAACTTGTGGCCAAAGATTATTTGATTTATTTCTGTAGCTTCATGCTTTTTATAGATTGGCATTTTGACTTTAGGGTAGTCAACATTTATGTAGTAGTATTAAAAAAGTCAAAGGTTAAAGCGTTTTGTGGGTCCTAATCTTTTCAAGACGGCTAGTGTTTGAAATAGGCCTACATGGCTTCTGAATGGTATGGTAAATTTAAAATTGAAAATTGTCAACACCCAGATCTTGGAAAATCCAAAACGGAAGATCATGATTTTATGATTTTATATTGTGTTTTAGAGTTGTATGAGGTAGTTAAGTGAGCTATTTTTCTTTTACAAGCATGACTTAACGTTTTCTAAAGTACTAACTTTGGTAGTAAAAAACAAAACAAAACATTGTACAAACATCAAAAAAAGAAAGTTAATTGTGTTGAACTTACAATAATTTTAACATTAGGATGAAGACTTTTGACAGCCAATGCCACACCAGCTATCAGCCCTCCCCCTCCCACAGGTACTACTACAGCATCAATGTCCGACACTTGCTCTACAATCTCCAGCCCAAGTGTACCCTGGCCTGCGATGATATGTGGATGATCATATCTGAAATCATCATCATCACTTATCATGACAATGCCATTTTAAAGTGTCAGCCAATAAGTTTTATATTAAAATACTAATTCACCTTTTAGTTAAAAACAGAAAATTTCTAAACATCAGGGACTATACAAGGGCACAAATTATGGTCCTGTTGATTTTATCATTCACTTTACGTTTACATATTTTACGCCAGACTACACTATTTTTACGAACTTCCCACGCAAGGATTTAGTCCAGAAAACAGCTGTTTGCCGCCAGCTTAATCAAACAGGGTTTCATTACGTACTACTGTACTGTAATGAGTTTTACGGACACCAACCAGCTGATTGTACAGTATTTGGCGTTGAGTGGTGATAAACAAAAACATAACCTCTCTTAGAGGTTATGACTAGTGATTGTTAGTCCTTTAGTTGGTAGCAATTCTAGTAATATATAAGGATATTTTTAGTAGTATGGCTTAAATTATCGTATGTCACTTGTCCAAAATGTGTTTACCGGACTCGTATGGTTATCCCGTACTCGACTTCGTCTCACACGGAAACGACCACACTCGTCCAGTAAACACTTATTTTCAGGACTAGTAACCCTAGTGGAAGTGATCAATATATATCAATACAAAAATTGTATATTGATACGTATTGATACGTATGTGTATTTGGGCCAATACACATCAATACACATCAATACATATCAATACAAGTAAATATAGGATCCGAGTCATTAGCTTAATTGAAAATAATTTGTAGCTTGTTAAAAAACAATTTTTAATTTGTTTCAACACATTGAATCACATCTACTATGCACTAAAAATAAAATAAAAATGAAAAAGTAAAAAAATTCTTGTCAAAAAGCTCTAGGTGTTCCCGAGATTTGAACCTGGGACTCCAGCATGGTAGCCCGATGTTTAAGCCATTACGCCACAGACGCTTCATGTCTGACTAAGTAATGATAGCCACTTTGAATGCGAGAAGCTGTGTTAGGCCTCATAATTAAACTGAAAAGATTTTTCAATGGCATTTGTGTCATTTCAGGCTTGTACCTATATGCTTTAACATGTTTCAAAACTGTTTTATTACCAGTTCAAACTGTTTTCTTGCTACTTGGGTGATGTGAATAGTGTGTCAATACAATTTATTTTTATTGATTTCTAGAAATAAGGAATTCAATTCAATAATGAATTTGTGAGTAATTTTTATCCCTAATAACCCATTAGGAAAGAAATTGTTAAAAGTTGTCGAAAGTTGTATTACAATTGTTGTATAACAATTTTAAAACATTTTGATTTAAACTTCATATTACAACAATGTTGATATAAGATTGAAACAATTTTAAAAATGTTTAACAATAAGTTTTTTGCAGTTGAAAAAAATAAGTTTCAATACGAGCTGTAACTGTTTTACAACAATTTTAAAATTGTTTTACAATCAGTTTTTTGAAGTTTAAGAAAATTAGTTTTAATACAAGTTGTAAACTGTTTTATAACAATTTTAAAATTATTTAGCAATCAGTTTTTGGCAGTTTAAAAAATAAGATTTAATACAAGTTGTAACTGTTTTACAACAATTTTAAAATGATATATTTTAAAATTATATTGAGTTTTAGGTACCTCAGCTAACGTCTATGACCTAAAACTAAAGTTTTTCCTTTTTTCAAAAAATAACATTTTTATTACTGTTTATTTAACCACTTTACATTGATATTTTGTATAATCCATAATGCTCATTTGTGATACATTTGAGAGATATTTTGAATTTTATTTACCCGTATTGATGTCTATTGATTTATATTTACATCTAACATATTTAAAAAATATTCTCTATTGATATCAATGAACGATTTGTTTGCTCTAATGATCTATATTGATATATTTTATGTTTATAGATGTCTAGTGATATGTATTGACTAAGTTTTCAGTGATGTCTATTTGTTTGTATTTACTTGTAATGATATCCATGAACATCTATTGATATCACTAAGCATCTAGTGATATCAATAGATTTTTTCTATTGATTTCTATTGATGTCTTCCACTAGGGAACGTAGTATACTATTGCAACATTGTATCCATAAACAAGGGTTTGTTGTGATCATCAGAGGAAACAGCAACAGAAAAGGTACGCTGTAACAACTTTTTGTAACAAAAATTGTAAATACAAAATAACACATAATGTGACTTTTGTTTGTAATTGTCATTGGTTTCTTATATAATTAATTGCAAGTTACCCATTGATGTAAGTGAGTCCCAATTCCCTTCCCTTGACCATAGCAAGGTGTTTGGCCTCCTTCATGTCATTTCCAGCTACTATCACTGTAGCCCCATACTTCTTGCAAGCTTGGATCTAAGCAACACAACACAACACATATTATTGTTACCTACTCGATAATTTAAATAAACTACCTGACATACTGTATATTACAATGACTCACCTGACTTAAAAATCGTCTAAACAAATAATAATTGAAGGAAAAATAGATACAACTCTGGATTTTCTTTGATAAATAACTGCATGCAGCACTAGTGATAGAACACTTATTGTTGCGAGAAATTTCTATCTTTTTACAATACTTCATAAAACAAAAACAATCAATCCAAATATAGTAGTTTTCATCAATATGAGCAAAAGTATGTCTTTTTGGTAGGAAAATGCGTTTTACGATTAAGTACAAAAAAAAAACACTAGTTCTCCTTGTGATTAAGAACTATTTTCATCATACTGTAGAAATAACCATCTAATCGGTACAAATTTAGACCACATATTTGTGGTTATACAAAGTCATACTCAATGATTACATTGTTTTCTAATGTGCCATAAACAAAATTTGAAGTTAGTGAATCAAAAAAATTACCATATGTTTTTTCTGTTCCCTATTTGAAGCCACCCAAAAACGATGATTTTGCGGACGATTTAGAGAGATAAAAATGGCTGTTTTCGGGAGAGTAATGATGAAAACTTAATTTTCAAGAGCTCATATTAAATGTACAGAATGGAGTCAACTACAATAGAATACAATAAAACTTTATTTAGACTAAAACAATAATTATATTTTTAACATAAGAATATATTTAATAGAGGGAATTATCATCAGTGGATCAAATTTCAAGAAGTTGGAAAAATATTATCAATTTATATAAAGGTCTGTTGAAGAGGTAATGATTTTAAATGGTTTTTTTATAAATAAAATAAACTATATTTTAGGTAAGCTATTAATAGTTAATGCCATTAAAGGTAGGGGTTTTTCTTATAAATCAATAAATCGTGTCTATTGTATGCAGATTTCCTTTTTTGGTTGAATAATTATGAATAATTAAGAGTTTAGTTTTGGTACTTGTCATGAAGACGCAATAATTAAATTAACATTAAGAATTTAAAGGTAACTTAAATACATTATAGTGTGTAGAAAGTTACTTTCATGATGGGAGCTACGACAGGCATGACCACAGTGACAGGCACACCCAGTCTCTGACCGTGGTAACACAGAGCCTGCGCGTGGTTACCCAGAGACGCAGATATAACTCCTCGCTGCTTCTGCGTGTCAGAGAGCATCATCAGAGCATAGCAGGCCCCTCGCTCCTTGAAACTGGACAGTACCAACACAGACTTATGTTTTGGGGTATATTGTGGAAAATATGATTTTAGACTGCAGTACGCTCTGTGATTGGCTCATTCAACTATGTCCTTTAAATGAAGAAATAGGTTACAGCTACAGCATAAACTAACTAACACAAGAAGGTTTCTCATCCCATTGTAAATTTTGAAGCTCGTTTTTCCTTTTTCGTGAACTAGTTCATGTTGGTTACAGTGGTCGACAAAATTTTGTTTCTATTATTTTAGGGTAAATTTAATGATTTGTGCTTTACTGTTCGGTTAAATAATTAGGGGATGAGTTATTGTTTATAATTAGATTGGATTGTTTTATTCGGTTAAACAAGGTTTAATATGACTAAAATAACAAGAAACAAATTGTAAACAAATATGACCTCTACAGTGCACTGGACAGAACTAACAATAGATTTGTCTTCAGCTGACCCATAAGGATAACAAATTAAAATCTACTAAGGGGGTATGTTTTATCTATGGTTATAGCTGGTTTATGTAAATGGAATGTCTACTCAGTATCCAAAAGTCATTGTTATGTTGGGGCATTCAAGTGGTATAGGGATAAAATTAAAATATGAAGGTTGCTGATTTGATCTAGAACAGGATCGATTCTGGACCCAGATTCCATTTCTCATAAGGCTACAGTATCAACTAATGAGAGAATGCAAAAAGATATGTTATACTACGGAGAAGTAAGGTACAGAGGAAACATTCAATAATACACTAAGTGGTGAACAGCACTATTCACTGGTGTCTAGGGAAAAGTCCAACACCTACATTCTTGTCATCATGTACTACAACCCTAACCGTGGAGGGAGGAAGACCCTGAGCCTGAGCTCTGTGCCATAGGAATTTCCCCACAGTGCTTGCCGCTTGAGCTCGTCACAAGTATTTTCCGGCACAACATACTATAGCTGAAAGTGCAAATCACAACATCATAAATGTGGGTAGTCGCCTACACAACTTTCCTCTGTACCTTACTTCTCTGTGGTCAGACAGGAATCAAACCAGTGTTTGGACTATTGCCTTACCAAAAGTTTAGACAATGGAATTGGTAATAAAGAACCACAAAACCCCTTGTGAATTTCTTTAAAAATCCTTTATACTTTATCAAGTTTAAATATTATTCTCAAGGAAATTGTAATAATAATGTTTTTATTTAAAATGTTTACCGGTATTTTAATTATATGCAATTGCTTAGTTTAAAGACAAAAGTTTTCATGGCGATTATGAAGGACTTTACCTCTTCATTTTGTTTACAATATTGTTGACAGAAAGAGAGAAAGGCCACATTATCTAATAAATATGTGTTTTTTAATAATCCCATTGCAACCTCATTATTATAAAAGAAAAAAAATGTAAAAAATTAAACCATATACTGTACAACAATCTTGGGCATTAAAAAATTTGTTTTAAATCTTTCCCACAGACTCAAATGTAAATCAGAACACCAAAGACTCATACTCACCTACCAGTTGTTTGCATGAAATCCTTTTTAAGAAAAATTTCCATTCCAGTAATATCAGACATGTGTGATCTCTGAAATATAAATACAAATTTATGAAGCTCAAATATGATTATGACTTAAATAGACATTTAAAGATTCATTTATCTAAAAATATAGTGTATTACCTTGGAAATTATATAGTTCGGCCGGTTAGAAAACAACCTGCGCAAAATGTTTTGCGTATGTAGGGGAGGTAACGGCGAGGGAGGGTATGTTCCCCCTTTCCGCCAATGGCCGTTTTCACACTGCACGACACGACACCGGCACGACACCGATACGGCACCGCCCCGTTGTCGTGGGAGTTAGAATCCTGTGTTACCAAATGGAACTGCTTACACAATGATATAATAACATTTCATGATGCTCAAATATTCATGCGATTTAGGCTATACAATATTTTTTGCAGGACCTATTTTTCTCAAGTTATGAACAACGTAATTGTTTACATTTTGATCAGCTGTATAATTTAATTGCTGTTAATATTTATAAATGGTTAGGGGTGGGGCGGCAGCGGAGTGGGGGTAGAGTCATAGTCTGTCTCACTCCCACAGCTCGGTATCTCTCTCTTCCCACCAATGCTACGAGGAGGACGCTTTCTAACCGGCCGACCTTAAGCCAAGTATGAATGGATATGAGTGTAGGATGAGTGGCACGATCTTGTAGTCTTATTAGTGACTAAGGCCGACATATTCCTTAGACACAGCTGTTAATTAATAACCCATACGGCTAATAGCAAAAGGGACCTACACAGTTTATAGGGGAATCCGAACTACATTTTTGCCTTGGTATAATCTGTGCGTATTCAGGATCATGACCTTCTTGAGGACCTACCCGGTGGTAAAACATGTCATGGATCTTGAAGTTGTGGATCCCCTGTGTGATCCTCTCATCTAAATGAGATTCAGAGCTGACCATGGCAAAGGCAGAATTGAATTGACAAATACGAGGCATGTTTTTTAAGTAAGTACCGTTTTTAAATTTCTCCGTTCCAGCACTGCGATTGGCATTTTCGACATTTGCGCTGTGTATGGGCATCTATTGGTAAGACCTAGCCGGAAATTCGAGAAAAATCGGCCGTGTTTACATCCGGTTTCGAACATTCAAAATGGTGCCAGAGAATAGAACACCAGAGAATGCAGAAACATGCAAAAATGACAACTCCTCTGTGCTTGACTCTCACTTTAAGGAAAATGGATGGCAAATTGTTTCTCACAAACGGAACAATGAAAGCTTGAAGACTACTGCATCTCAGCTAAAAACTAGGAAACGAGTAGATATTTCAACAGCAAACAAGTTTTTGCCATTACAAGCCATTCAGGAAAGTCAAAAAGAGAGCATCTCGGAAGCCTCGGGAGCATCGGAGCATAACAGCAAACAATCTAACATACACGAGAAAAGTAATAGGACAAGGAAAATGAAGAGTTTTTACAGTACAAAGAAAAGTAGTTGGGTTTCGGAGATGGAGGTTTTATTCTGTTCTGATAGCCAAGGAAAAACCGTATCAACCAAGCTGGCTGAGCTCAGTAGAAATAAGTTGAAGGTCTTTGGATATGTGAGAGCAAATACGACACTCACACAGGTTGTGGACTCAACTGAAATAATTGATGACTCTAGCCCAGTAGTTATATTAGGTGGAACTAATGACTGTCTGAGAAATAATTTTAGAGATATTTATCTGAACTTGGAGAGAAAAATTGCTTTACTCAGTAAAAAAAGGCCTGTTTTTCTTTGCACTATACCACAAAGACATGATGAATTATTGTATAAGGTTGTCAAAGAAGAGCTGCAAGTGGTTAATAATTACATAACTGAATTAAGTCGCAGAATAAGCAATGTACATCTGATTAATTTAAATAGTTTAAGAAGAAGTCATTACACACAGCATGGTCTCCATTTAAACGACCTGGGTAAAAGCAAACTAGCCAGTCTCATCTTTAATGCTTTGTCTCGATGGTCAAAACATAAGAATTCGACCTGTGACTTTGTTGAGGATACAACTGAAATGGAAGTGGCGGATAGTTGTGTGGAAGAAGAGACAATTAAGGTAGTGGACATGAATATGAAGGACGCATTTCAAAAGTATCAAGGCAGGGAAGATGTTGCGTTTGCTCACTCAATATCAGCGGATCTTGAAAGCCCACGAAACATGACAGCTGGGGTGGCGGTGGTTTTTCGAGAACAGTTTGGGAGACCAAACCGCAAAAACTGCATAAACAGCCATCTAGCCTACCAAAAGAGTACTAGGGGTGCAAGTATTTATAGCCTCATAACAAAACCAGAATATTATACAAAGCCTACAACACTGGACTATGACATAGCCTTTACCGAGTTATCCCAGGATTTTAAGCTGAAAGGTTTTAAAAGACTTGTGTGTTCAGCTATGGGCTGTGTACGAGACTATATTGCTCCCAGCCACTTTATAAATAACCTAATCAAATTCCAGGAAAAAACAGGAGCAATAATTGAAATAATAAGCTACAAGCAGAAGGCGAAAAGATTACTTTGGAACGGTATACCACATCATCATTTTAATAAATGTCTGCGCCATCTGATTGCCCACCAACACTTGCAAACCACATCGCAGATCCTGCCTGCCAGTCAAACAAGTTCAGTGAATGCGGTGACTCCTATGTCTCGGCCTCTACTTCTGCCTGACAACACAGAGCTCCTTAGCATTGGTGTTCATGGAAGTGGAAAAGAAATCGGTGTGAGTGAGGGGGGTGAAAAGCAGAGTAACGGGGTTGTGAGTGAGGGGGGTGAAAATCAGAGTAACGGGGTTGTGAGTGAGGGGGGTGAAAAGCAGAGTAACGGGGTTGTGAGTGAGGGGGGTGAAAAGCAGAGTAACGGGGTTGTGAGTGAGGGGGGGGATAAGCAAAATAATCAAATTGTAAATTTTATAGAAAGCCAGTGTACAAGTAGTCTTAAGGAGCAGAGAACACCTGCTTTGGCTTTAAACTTAGGTTTGGGGGGGGCTTCTCGGGGAACTTAAGGCGTAGAGATGTTCTTTTAGGTGGGAACAATAAGCATAATTCGGTCATGGTAAAAAATAAAAAAATTACAATTTTTCACCAAAACATTCAGAATTTGGTATCAAGAGTAGAGGGGTTAGAGATAGTTCTAGATGAGATTAAACCTGACATTTTAGTCTTATCAGAGCATAACATGAAATCTGATGAGCTGAGCAGATTTAATTTAAACGGTTTTATGATAAATTCAGATTACACTCGGGAAAAATTTAAAAGTGGAGGTGTTTTAATATTATCTAAGCTTGGTTTAAAGTGGAAGCAGGTGAACTATGCTAATATTGAAGTGTTAAGGGAAGAAAAAGTGTTTGAGTTCTGTTGTTCAAAATATTTTTTTGTAGGGGATGAAATTCTTTTGGTTGGTATATATAGATCACCTGCAAGTAGTGTTAATGAATTTTTAAGTCGATTAGGTATTCTATGTGACTATGTGTTATCAAAAAACAAAAAGGTGGTAATAGTAGGAGATTTTAATATAAATGTTTTAGTAAACAGCAAACAAAGCAAGGATTTTGATAATTTGTTAAAATCTCACGGTTTGAAATTTTTAGTAAATTTTCCAACAAGGGTCACAGCTAACTCAGTAACGGCTATTGATAACATTCTAACAAACATTCCAACCCATGAATTAAAGACCACAGGAGTCATAACTGAGCTTTCAGATCACGATGGACAAATCTTAGAAATAAATATTTTAGATAAATGTATAAAAAACAATTACATTTTTAAAAAATCCCGACAATTCTCAGAAGAAAATAAGCTCCAATTTTATCAAATGCTGGAAAAGGAAAACTGGAATGATGTTTATTTAGCACCGGTAACAGAAAAGTACAATATTTTTCACAAAACGTTAATTTACTATTTCAATTTATGTTTTGAAAATAAACTTGTCAAAATTTACAACACAAAGAAATCCTGGATAAATCCAGAAATTAAACAAGAAAAACACGAAATTATAAAAATGAGTAGAATAGCTAGAAAAGTACAAAATAAATGTACTTTCTCTAAACTAAATAAAAGAAAAAAAATATTAAATAAAAAAATTACTGAGAGTAAAAAGAAGTTTTTTGATTTCCAAATTCATAATTCAAGTAACATTAACAAAACCACATGGAGAATAATTAATAATGAAGTTTCAAACAAAAAAAACACTTACTCAGAGAATATTAGTCTTCGACTGAATGATGAACTAATTGAAAATCCTACTTATGTTGCAAACATGTTTAATAATTACTTTATAGATGTTGTAGATAGCTTTAGTGTTAGGCAACCTTTAGATAAAAATAGAGGAACAACTAATCAAGTTAGCGATGTAAATAAAACAAAAGGGCTTTTTGAAAGTAGGATATTTAAGTGCACTCCTGTAGATGATAAGGAAATGGAAAGAATTGTTGGTTCACTTAAGAATAAAATGTCTAGTGGTTATGATGATATACCAACTAAATTATTAAAATATGTAGGGAACCTTTTAGTAAAGCCACTTGTACATTTGGTGAATTCCTCTTTTGTGTCTGGCTTATTTCCGCATCAACTAAAAATTGCAAAGGTAATTCCTTTACATAAAAAAAACGAAGTTACTGAAATATCTAACTATAGACCTGTTTCATTGCTCCCTGCTGTATCAAAGGTATACGAGAAAGCAATGTACATTAGATTGGTAGATTATCTTGAATCAAATAAGTTATTTGATAATTCTCAACATGGTTTCAGAAATGGAAGATCAGTAATAACAGCAGCTACTGACTTCATTGAGTCCATCGTAGAATCAATTGAAAACGGTGAAAATGTTCTAGGGATATACATGGATCTCTCTAAAGCATTTGATAGTGTTTGTCATTCAATTTTGCTAGAGAAACTGGAAAGTCTTGGAATAATGGGAGTCCCCTTAAAATGGTTTCAATCTTATTTGGATGGTCGGATGCAATTTGTTGAAATAAAATCAAACAAAAACAATTATTTAACTACATTTAACTCTCATAAACGTAGAATTAAGTGGGGGGTGCCACAGG